TCCCCAGCCAGCATGTTGGCTGGAAAATTCTGGTAGTTGAAGTCTAGATTCTTTGCATTATCTAATGCTTTAGCAGATTCTGCACCAAGGAAGGGATTGGACCAGGTGACCTCTGAGGTCTCTTCCAACTCTCTGATTCTATAATAACTTTTGTCCCCTGGTCATCAATAAAGACCTATTAAAAAGATACATCTGAGCTGCCAAGAATTGATAGATACAGGGTTGTTTTATTTTATAGACTTCTTGGTTTATTCCAGGTTATCTCTGAGAGATATCTGCCCCCCCCCTTTTTTTAGTTTTACCAAAGTTGCCTATTTTTAAATTAAACTTATCTTCTGAAATGTAGGTACTTCCTACATTGATTTACATTCAGATCTGATTCATGTGTACTTATTTCTTTAACTGAAATGACGAAGTCCAACTGTTTTCTTTCAGAGATAAAAAAGCTTGGAGTTGGTGACAGTCTCATGATGGGTCCAGAAAGTTATATTTATAGTTGTCTTCTTGTAGTGAAAATTGAATGGAAGAAAGCATCTTGCTTTTGTCAAGTACTTTATGTTGCAAGAACACTTTTTCAAGATGAAGAAAAATTGGTCCTTGGAGAGGCCTGATGTCAAAATGGGATATTAAGCCCAGAATACTGAGGCCTAGTGAAGCCTATTGTTTTTCTTCTTGTTTTGTAGGTTTGCAAGAGATTCACGCAATTACAGGTATGTATGTTTTCTGAAAATTATCCATGGAGGGAATAGAAGGTAGCATTGTAGGTCAGAAATGGAGAACATACCGTATGCTCTATCACCCAAATTTGTCTCCCTAAGCCTCCCTCATAAAGACTCCAGTGAGACCCCATCCTCTCCTCTTCTTCAAGCCTCTTTCCCTCTCTCAAGATAGAACCTGAGTTGGTTTTTTTTCTGGGCTTTTATTTAATTTTTCAGACAGGGACCTCTAGCTTCCAGCATCTTCAAGCAATAACTCCCTCAAGGGTTTTACTTCACCTTACCTTCACCAAAGAGATATTAAAAGGGTACAGAGGCTGGCTTTTTGGGAAGCCACACTTCATGTGATCTTGTTACCATAAAAAGAGCTCTTCAGGGCTTTTATTTCTGCTCAACTCCCCTGCCTTTCCAAAGGGAAAATTTGGAGCAGATAAAACCAGCTCTGTGCAAAACTATTGCTTCAAGGTCCTCAGGCCTTCATCCACTCCTTTATTGTTAGGAAACAGGAGTAGACTAAGTATCTCCTCAATATTACATTACATTAAGGCTGGAGCTTCAGGATTTGGGGTTCTAGTCATCTTCAGCATTATCATGTACTCTGTAGCAGATGCTTGAAGAAGTCATCCATTCTTCATGTTGGAGGCTTCCCTAGGTGAATGCCCTTTTGAGGGAAAAGTATCCTATTTTACCTTCTTTCCAACTATAATATTCTTAATGCTGGAAAAATGGTTCTACTGATTTGGTAACCTCTTTGATTTCTTGTGAAAATGAAGGGTGTTTCAGTTACTCTGAATTTGGCAGGAAAGAATACACTCAATTTTTTTCAGACTTCTGCCTCAGGATGATGGTGGTCTGCCTAGAATACACAAAACAGCATTGCTACTACAAGTTCTAGAAAACCCCTAATGGTGGTTACCAGCTGTGGAAAGCTTTGATAGCCCCAGTGGATTTATTTCCACCATCCTTAAAATATTCCCCCAGCCATAATTAGAAAAAAGGGAGAATGTTTCACCCCCTACTTGCGTTTGATTTCTCTCTCTTCAAATGTTGTTGATTTTTTTCCTGGATGATTGATATCCTGCCTTACCTACAAGAGCTGAAGGCAGTAAACATAGCACTTTTTCCTCCATTTTTTACCAACAATGATCTTGTGAAGTAAGTTGGTCTGAAAGATAATGACTTGCCAGAAATCATCCAACATGTTTCAATGGATGAATATGAACTTGAACTTCTGTCTTCTTGGTACTAATCCTATACCTTAGCCAATACCCCATAGTAGCACTGAGTGGGACTCACCCATATATTTAATTTTCCAACTGCACATTGCAATAAATGAATATATTAAATAATCTAGAGTTTCCTGTGAGCTTGGAATATCCATATACAAAGGAGGCTTCTTGATGAGTCTCTGAACAGGTATCTGCTCTGGCTCTTCCTATGTAGCACCTATACGCTATACAGTAACTAGGTCAGGTTATTTCCACCATAGTGTTGACTAGGATCTCTATGTTCTCAGTGATTTCCCAACCCCACTCGCAAGTCATTCTGAATGAAAACCTGCTTTTCCCTGCAGCCTGTGGACAACCTCTTGTCAGCCTCAGTCGTATTGTGAAAGGAAAGGACACCATCCCTGGCGAGTTCCCCTGGCAAATCAGTTTACAATTAAACCAAAAGCATGTTTGTGGAGGGTCTCTAATTTCAGAAGAGTGGGTGATAACTGCAGCCCATTGTTTCTATCAGTGAGTATAGTGAATGACATGTGGACAGGGTGGCGTGGCATCCTACTAACAAGAGCCCAGGCACAAACTTCTCTGACCTTGCCCATAATTGGCTCAGTTTTTGCAAAAAGTGCATGGGAAGCCCCTTGCAGGACCATGTAGCCATCATTGATCTCTGTTGTATCTGAGTTCTGTAACACTTTGATTGGATTGCAATTGCTGAAACCTATTTATTTATTTAGAGATTAGTACATTGTCCAGCCCACTTTGACCAACCTTGAAAAATCTGGATGTTTGTGGGCCCCCAGGGAATCCCAGGGCTATAGTCTAGTTTGAGAAGTTCAGAAGATGAAAATGGCAAATCACTTCAATGTTTGTAAACCACCCCCCTAAATTAAAACAATACTCCCAGATGTCTCTATGAAGACACCAAGAGTCAATTTTGACTCAAAGAGCCTTCACTTTTTTAAAAAAAATCCTTAATTC